ATCTCCGATGTATCTATAGTCATGTGACTGTATCTTTTTTTTTAATTCTCATTACCCTGGATTTGGCTTTTCGCCTGACAGTTTCCTTCCTGATAGATTCTTTGACTTTCTCCATCCCCTTGGTACTATACTTCTTCAATTATACATTTTCCAGTGCCATGGCGTTAATACCTTTTGATCTTGTTCCATTCATCTGTTCATTATAGATACCAAGAAAAAAAGAAAAAAACAAAGGAAGAACAATTATCTCCTTTTACACTGTCGTCCCATCATTTTGCTCATTGATTGATTGATTGATTGATTTTTATAGTAAAGACGCTTGGCTAATATCCAGACTGTTACCTGCTACCTGCTCCCTGATACCCTGTTTCATCTTTCGTTATGTTTCACGTTGCTTGGTTTGATTAAACAAGTTGACAAGGTTATTGTTTTGCTTGTTATTTGTTGATTAACCCTAATATTAGACACTCGTTTGCTTGATCTTATGGAAGAATGGATTATACTAGATTGAAAACATGTTACATTATGATTTGCTAGAGCTATACTTGCTTGCGTAGAAAGTAGAGATTGATAATGGTTTGAAATAGATTAGTCGACGTATACTCCGTACGTATACCAGAAGATCAACGCCCCTGGGGCAATTTAAGCTAATTAACGGGATACGCCCTTCTCATTTGAAAACGTCAAACATCATTGCATTCGTGTCGTCAGTCGTTACAAATTAGATCGAACTTAGAAGAGGCATGTATGTACGAAAAATGCTATAGAACACCAAGCTATCAATAAACACTCCCTCGGATACTCTGGTCCCTGCGTCTCTCGGCTTCGAGGGTATCTTCGTTCTCTTGTCCTTGGATCCGCACATCCGTAGTTGTATTCTCCGGTTCTCCCTCCGGCTCTGGTTCAAGGGATGTCTCTCGATCATTGGGTAGATGGTCCGTGTCGTCTGTCTCGGGGTCCCGATCACCGAGGGTGTCACCTATTCTCACGGCTAAATTGCGCTTGTTTATGTTGGAAATGAAGTGATTGTGATGGTGGTGGTGGTTATTATGCGAACGGGCACGGCGCAAGCGTTGCAGTCCTGGCTTGCTTTCACTCCCTTCATCGTCGCCGTCGTTTCCGATATCCTGTGACGGACTGGCTTGGTGGGAGATTTGTCGAGGAAGGGTTTTTAGGGGGGTGGGTTCTTCGCGCTCGTCTTCGGATGGGTTGAGGCTGTTAAAGCCGCTCATTGAGCCGCCGCCGTCGCGGCCTCCGAGGCGGAGGAGGGCTAGGTTGTGGCGGTGGCGGTCGAGGAGGCTGTCTTCGCTGTCTTGGTGGAAATGTGAGAGGCTGGGTCGTGAGTTTTCGGGGTTGGTGGTGGTTGATTTGGGGTTGGAGGTTTGAGGATTGTCATGGTCGTTGTCGTTGTCATGGTCGTTGTCGTTGTCATGGTCGTTGTCGTTGTCATGGTCGTTGTCGTTGTCATGGTCGTTGTCGTTGTCATTGTCGGAGTCGGGGTTGGTCGCGTCTGGAGGGCGTTCTGCTGCTTTTAGTTGCTCGACTCGCGCAGTAGCCTCCTGGGCAGGGTCTTGGGCGCTCGTGTCGGGTATCTTTTTGTGGGTATCGTGATGATCGTGACGCATTGCGTCTGCTCCGTTCGTTCGTGGGTTTCGTACAGAAGTCCTCCTGCGAATGCCGTGATCACATCCGTCAGGACAACCGCCCCATCTGCGTTTGGCGGGGACAGGTGCCTCCGATGGAACAGGCGCAGCGCTCAGTCCTTTGGAAACTCGTTCTTGCTGTATCCCCAACTCCTTTTCCTTTTTCATCTCAGACCATGTGCGCAGATTATTCTGCAGCACATACTTCCCGTTGTCCGGGTTGAGCCTCAGAACCACGAACTCGCAGTGATTGATGTTGCGAAGGTCCTCAAAGTATTCAACGCTCCAATGATACCACTTCATAAGGAATACCCGGGTCATGAGACCATGGGTGACCAATACGCACACGCTAGCGAAGTCATCCTCACCAAATAACCGCCAGAGAGACTCGTTGAATCCGCTCACCCGGTCATACGCATCCGCAGCAGACTCGCCGTTAGGTATCCGGTAGAAGAAGTGTCCATAGTCCGCTCTTTCCAACCACATCCGCTCCATTTCTGCCGAACATGGTTGGAAGTTACCGAAGTCCTGCTCACGCAATCGGGGCTCTTCGTACACCTTGATGGTGTGTCTCGGGAACGGCGACGGAGAGGGGCTATCGGAGGTTAAAGAGCTCATCAGTCCTTCTGTGGTCTCTCTCGTTCGACGATAGGGTGACGTGAAGAAGTGTAGAGTATCATCTGGTCGTAGAAGTTCGCGCAGTCTGGAACCTGCCTCGTGGGCTTGTCGATGCCCTTCGGGCGTGAGGTTTACCCGGTGGTCAGGGACGGTCTGGTGGATTTCTCGATTTTTGTTTCCCTCGGACTGAGCATGGCGGATCAGAATGATCATCTATCGAGAGATGTGTTAGTTGGGATTAAAGCCACAGATAGGAGCCCGAACTCACCCGTGGCTTGCCCATGGTCGATATCAGAGACTTGAAGCGGGGTCAAATTCTATTATAGAGGAGCTCCCTCAGAACATCCACTGTATTCTTTTCCTACTCTTCCCTCTGAAGAGTATCGACGGCCATGCGAAAGAAACAAAGCAGGAGACGAAGAGAAGAAATCGATGAGGATAACGACTGAAGGTACCTGGTAATTGCTGGATTGGGTTAGCGCCGCCCGTGATGTGAGGCCATCCCGATTGGGCGCATTACAAAGCAGCGTTTCTCCAGGTTACCTATTTGGAATGTGGTTGATGGCTTGAAATAGCTTTGTAACTCAAGCAAGGAACATGTTCTGGTAATGTGTCTTTGATTTTGAACATGATATCTCCTCAGATTCGGCGTTGGGAGGTACGTATGTCTACTGGGAATTTTGTTCATCACTGCCAACTTCGGAGGTACTGCACCGGTGGCCGCAACGACCGCCGTACTCTATCGCAACGCGGAAGCTCCAATCTGGCCCGTTTCAATCGACCAGCTTCAGATACCACCACCAGTTATTTTTGACATCATAAAGAAAGAAACAGGAGGGAAAAGAGAGTGCACATAATGGATGATTCCCTATACGAACTACTGACTCCTCATTTGGGTTCGACAAGTCCGACAACAACCTTATCCCGCCCCCGCGCCCCCAAACAAGATGCGACGACGTCTCGATACCTGAACCGAGTGACTACCCTCTCCCTCGAATCCTTGGCGACGACAGAAACACAGTCGCTAGTACAGTCCTCTCATTCCACGCTCCTCTCCCTCCAGGCTTTGTCCAATCGCTCCCATAAAGCCTTCATCACCTCTGCCGATAACCTCTCAAATCTTCGTACCTCGATCCCCGAGCTCACACGCGAATCACGACGGCTCCAAGATGCGATTCCGAAACTTGATGAAGAGGCAGTCCAGTTCTCGACGAAATACAGTCGGACGGCAGAGAATGTTGCGCTCATGCGGCGGAAGAAGGCGATGCAGCTGGCGAGAAACGTTGACCGTCTCTCGGATATCTTAGAGTTGCCCACATTACTATCAACAGCTGTGTCGGCGGCTGCTGCGTTGGGAACTGCAGGGGCTTCATCATCTACGACATACTCGTCTGCGCTGGACCTCTACACTCATATTAAGCGATTGCAAACCCTGTATCCGGATTCCCCTCTGGTGAAAGATGTGGCTGCTCAAGCCGAGGATGCGATGAAGGAGATGACGACAAACCTTATCACAAGCTTGCGAGCGCAGAATCTTCGGCTTGCAGCTGCCATGCGGACAGTTGGTTGGCTGCGACGGGTAGCGCCGGAATTGGAGAATCTGCATAGCGAAGGAGGAAATGGCTCGAGCGAGGGAGCGCTGGGTGCTCTTTTCTTGATCTGCAGACTGGCAAACCTGGTGTCGACTTTAGAGGCCTTAGATCCCTTACGAGAACTCGCAGATCAAGAAACTCAACGCCGAACACGCAATGCAGACAAGCAAGGTGGCCAGGGCCAGCAGACAGAACGATTTTTGAAGCGATATATTGAGATCTTCCGTGAGCAGAGCTTTGCGATTGTCTCTTTGTATAAAAACATATTTACTCCCGATCAATCCGAACCTGACCTGGCCATCGCGGGCTTACGAGGACTCGATGCGCGGGCGAAAATAGCATCATCGCGACATACGCACCCTGGGGATCCTTTAAAATGCCTTCCATCAGCATTGTCCACATTTCCCATGCATCTAGTCCAGCTGCTGACGGACACATTACGTACATATCTACCTAATATCCAGAACAAGACTACACGGGAAAGTCTTCTAACTCAGGTCCTGTACTGCGCGGCTAGTCTGGGGCGACTTGGAGGAGATTTCAGTATGATTCTGACAGAATTGACTGATGTTGAGGACGAGGACGAGGAAGATAGCATTGTCTACGAATGGGAAGAAGTGATGAGAAAGCATAGGGCTCTGGCAGGGCGGTTAGAGCAGCTGACCGGCGGGAACTCCGCTGCAGGGTCCCCTGGAGGAACCTTGCGATCTGCATCTCCCATCCACTGATTCTTACAATGGATTAATATTCTATATGTATAATGGCACGGAACAATAGCACAACACTACGGAGTACCTACTGATTATTGGTTTCTAAACGGGGAATCATAGCCTCGGGGACGCTAACCATATAAGGCATTAGCGCGGCGGGAGTGATCATTCAGCGTTGTCTGGACCGACCGCCGTCATTCCTTAACTCTCTCTGTCTCTCTCTCTCTCTCTCTCTTTCTTTCATCTCACCAACGTCCGGAGATAAGGTTGCTGAGGTCAGACGTTGGCCGATGCTATGCTAGAGTAGCCTTGCGCCCTTTGTTTGTGGTTTTTTGTTATGTGTATTCTTTCACCTTGTGGCCAGTTTCGATCCTCCGGTCTCCGTCCTCTCCTCTCCCCGTGTGACGTCTCTCTCCTTGCATGCTACCGACTAGTCTGTCGGCCCTCCTAGTCACCACGGATTATATATATAGAAGAAATATTACCTTGACTACGATTCCAAGACCTCTTTTCCTCCTATCCTCTGCGAGTTCGTCCTAAAAACCGCCCCAATGGCCACCTCCGCCATACCGACCGGCGGTATGATCGACCCAACGAAACAAGCCGAATACCCAGTGCTTCTGGGCGACAGATTAACCAGGCAAGACACCTTCTCGCAATCACGGTTGATCAACTTCAATTACAACTACAAGACCAAATCTGCAACTCCACAGCAGCGATCGACGATCACCCGTTCGTCGCAATCCCAGGATCTTTATAATCTCACTATCACGGACAAGCCACAGAGCACGGAGAACAATAAATTGACATACTTGTATGAAGGTAGTGTGGATCCAACACAGGAGTCTGAAGTGGAAGATTATGTTCTGGTCTTCGACTCGGATCGCAAAGCGTTCGTGCTGGAGCCAGTCGTAACAAGGTTGAACTTCAACCTTCGATCGGCCCCAGTAAAGACAGAAAAACAGGTGCTGGAACAATATGAACAGCTCAGGACTCTGCAGGAGGATCAGCAAGTGTCGGGGGATGAGCAGGCGCCCGAAAGTGTCGACGAGGATGAGGATGGCCCTGCGGATGAGAGCAATCCCTACGATTTTCGACACTTCCTTCCCAAGGCTGGTGATGAGGATGATGATGAAAAAGAAAAGTCTTCGTTTGATCGGATTACCCCAGAGCCCCAGGTCACAAGCAAACCCGATACTCTGTCGATACCTGCACCTGCCAAACGTGCCCCAAGCCCGAAGCCGCGACCAAATACCCAGACCAATCCTCCCCGACAAAAGAAGACCGAGCCAGCGAAGAAGAAAACAGAACCTACCAAGAAGAAGGCAGAACCTACCAAGAAGAAGGCAGAGCCTACCAAGAAGAAAGAACCACCACTGCCCGAGCCAAGCCCCAAGCCCGAGGCCAATATCGAAGTGGAGGAGTTCGAAGAGCCCGAATCCAAATCGACACCTTCCGATACAGGAACTGCTGCTCTGGAATCGCATAAGACTATTCCGTCGCCAGGTTCTAATATCATTATCGATGGAGATTTGATTATCGATATGGGGTCGCCGCCTCCGTCTCGCCCTGCCTTCAATATCAATCCAGCCCATTTCTCTTCGAATGGTACGCCTTCGAATGGCGCAGAAGACGACGAAGATGATGAGGAGATGGAAGATCTCAGACTCCCGTCTCCTGCTGGACATACCGCTCCTGCGCAGCAGGCCCCACCTGAGCCGGCTCAGGAAGAGGAGGTTGAAGATGACGATGCTCTGGCAGCAGAAATGGAAGCCGCTTTTGAAGAAAGTGCAAGAGAAGAACAAAACGCGCATAGTTATAGTCAACCAGCATCGCAACAATACCACGCTCACAGCGACGATGAAAGTGAGGTCAGTGAGGAGGAGTGAGCCGTGTATAATTCGTTTTGGATATGCCTGCTGTTTTTTTTTTTTTGGTGGGTTCCGGGCCATGTTCTTGCATCTCAGTTTCTTCTTTCTGTTCTTCACTGTACCAACAGTGTATATATGAGCAACGGCGCCATTCGGAGTTTGGACCGCGGATGGCGCATAGATGCGTCAGGATATCCGCTGGCATATGATACCACTTGATATTATGCTGTACCTATTCTACTGATCTTGGATAATATACTGTTGAATATATACTTTTTAACTATCTAGTCCTTGTACTCCGTATTCACAAGAACTATGCCGGAAAAATAAAATTCTCCGGTCCGGCATCTCGCATTCGACCTCGCCAAAAGACTGGCAAAGCACCATTAGACAAGAAAACTCCTCCGCGACAAATCGACCAATCTATCCTCAAATCTACGTATTTTTTCTTATCCACAGCTATATCTAATCGTTCTTGACTCGCATATTCGCAGTTTTCGCGTCGGCTTTTCCCTCCGCCTTCGTCCGCCCTATCCTGACCTCCGACGATTAAGAAGAACCAGTCGTGTGCGACTGGCACTGACGCGAGCTCCGGCCACGATGCAATGAAAATCCAGCATGTTAACTTGATACAATCTAAGGGATACTACTATATTGTCTTAGTGTTGAGGAGGGAAACGAAACGAGCGTCTTCCACTTCCTCACCGTCAAACGCGCGTTTGATACACTTTTTCTCGAGCGGACGCGGACGAGGCGAAAGCACTGACACTTACATTCTACCTCTGGTTGCTGCTTCGATACAGGTAATTAAGGAAGCGCCTTCGCAATGGCGTCGTCTCGTCCCCACCCCGACCAGCGGCCCGTCCCATGTCCATCGAATCCGATCCTCCTCGCGTCGCAATCGCAATGGTTCTTCACAGACGAAGAACTCACACGAACACCCTCCCAGCTCGACGGGATGAAATTCGAGACGGAAAACCAAAGCCGCAGCAAAGGCGTGAACTTTATCACCCAGGTCGGTATCATGTTAAAACTACCACAGCCCACACTTGCAACGGCAGCGGTGTACATGCACCGCTTCTTCATGCGGCATAGCATGGTCGACACCCCCCGACACCCGGGAGCGCATCCGTACAACATCGCAGCTACGTCGTTATTCCTCGCGATGAAAGTTGAAGAGACCGTTCGTCGGATGAAGGAGATTATAATCTCATGCTGCCGGGTCGCACTCAAGCAACCAAACATGATCGTGGACGAACAGTCCAAGGACTTTTGGAGGTGGCGCGACACAATCCTCCATCATGAAGATATACTGTTAGAAGCACTATGCTTCGACCTCCAACTCGAACAACCCTACCGCCAACTCTACGACTTCATGTGTTTCTTCGGCGTCCAGGACCACAAACACCTCCGCAACGCTTCGTGGGCCTTCCTTAACGACTCCATGTTCACGATGCTCGCAATACAGTTCAGCGCGCGGACTATCGCCGCTGCAGCACTGTACGCTGCAGCCCGCAATTGCGATCTCGCATTCAAGGACGATGGTGCTGGTCAGCCGTGGTGGGTGCAGTTAGATGTTGATTTGGGGGAGGTGCGGCGCGCTTGTATGCGCATGGCGCAGTTGTATGAGAATAATGCCATGCAGAGACATAGCCAGTACTACCCGACCATACCCGTTACGGCTTTCGAGGAGGGTACTGAGAAGACTAGGATTATGCGGCCGGGCGCCAACCCCTCGAATGAAGAGAGTATGGGGAAGAAACGGTCAAGAGAACCGGAGTCAGACTCTCGAAACGACCAGGGTCATAGTCCAGCTCCGACGAACGGGGAACAACCCCCTAAGCGACAGCGAACGATCGAACCGGAGTCTGATACACAACAATCATCATCCTTTACAGAACCATCCTCCTCTCAGAACCGATCTACGAGTATGAACACGAATGGCCGTTTAGCACCACCCTCGCAAAACCCCAAAGATACCAAACCCCAACCCGAAGAGGGCGAAACAGACCCCGTCCAGCAACGAATCGATCACATCGTGCAGCAGAACTTACCTTCGGAGCGCCGTCACTCAGATGATAGATACCGACAGTTCTCAGAATCTCGAGACCGATCTCAAGACCGATATTGTGATCATGACCAAGATCGAGGCTGCGATAGGGATAGGGACCGCGATAGGGATAGGCAGTATCCATACCGGGGTCATTCACGACCACCTCCGCCTCCACCGCCGCCGCCGCCGGAGGAGGACAAGGAAGAGGGAGAGGCTGAGGGGAGTGAAGAAGGGGAGCTTTGATTCTTTAAGAGCATATATATTGGCATAGCTTTTTTTTCTTATAGATATTAGAATGCTTTATTCTACCATTTATGCTAGAACAATCTTCGCTCATAGCTCCTCGCTTTGTACGGCGTGAACACACTCGGTAGACGCTGTCTTATCGCATCTTATCACTAATGCTTCACCCCGCGCTCCCCCACTTTGATTTTTCTGGATTCATATTTGAAAGAACTGAAAGTGTCAAGTTGTGCAGTGACAAAGTGACATTCGTGTCGACGACGTCAGACCCATCTCGACTAACTCAATCTCAGCCGCCAATGACCCTATATTGACGACACCACCGCCGCCACTCATACACAGAAACACTTGACTACTCTCACCAACATCGCACACCAACTCATCTCCCAAGCAAAGCAAAATGACCACCCAACTCAGCGTCCAAACCCCCCCTCTCCCCGCCGTCGTCGATAGCGTCAGCCTCCGCTCCATCCACCTCCCCCTCCCCGCAGCCCCAGACCCATGGCATCGCCCGGGCAAACCCCAACCCTGCACCGCATCCCTAAAACTCTCCTACTCCTCCGCCATCGCAGCAGCCGCCGCAGACGACGTCTCCCTCTCCCTGGACTACGGCAAACTCTACCGCCGCTTGGACGAGGATATCCGCACCGGCGATGGAAAGGAAGATGTACGTCTGATCGCGGCTATCGTCGCGAACTGCGGATTGAAATTACTCGACGAGACTTCCGCGGGGATTCGCCGCATGGCGCATACACAGACGGGCCACGGTGGACGACGGGGCAGCGCATCGTCATCGGCTGGATCGCAGGCGCAGGCGAGGGCTGCTTTAGTTACCGATGGCCCCGCCTCGGAGCCTATTGATGGGCAGTTCGGGCAGTGTGAGGTGTGGTTGCACCTCCCCAAGGCGCATTTACGGGCTGAGGAAGGGGTTAGGTATCGCAGTGTGACGGCTTGGGGGTATAAGCCGGATAGTGCGCCTGGGGCTGGTGGTAAGGCTGTGGCGGCTGATGCGGGACGATATGCCGTTGTGGTGGAGGAGGAGTTTCAGATTGAGGGGATTAAGTGTTATTGTATTCTGGGGGTCAATTCGCATGAGAGGGTTGAGAAGCAGGCGGTTATTGTCTCGTTGGGGTTTAGGGGGCCGGGGCAGTTGGCTTGGGGGGAGAAGGTGGTTGGGACTTGGGAGGGGGTGACGAGGGGGGTTGCTGAGGTTTGTTTTCTCTCTGCTGCTGGGATTGAGCTTTTGCTAATGAGGATTATAGCAAGTTGAAAGCACCGCGTTCCAGACGGTCGAAGCACTGGCGACTTTCATCGCGCGCATTGTGACGGTGGACTTTGGGAATGAAAGAGTCACGGTCAAGGTGGAAAAGCCTAGTGCTCTGGCGTTTGTGGAGAGATCTGGGGTGGAAATTACACGCTCGCAGGCGTTTTTCAGAAGTTAATTAGATGTATACAAAGTGAAGCTATACGGATGGATATATCAACCCTTGCATGTGATCACCGCATACAACGCACAACTCGTATCCCTGAATCTGACTCCTTTCTTGCCTTTTATGAGCCAATGATTGTCCTGAATAAGCATAAATATGAGAAATAATATATCCAATAAGCCAAGACACGTGACAGCCTCACTTCCAAAATAGGCTTAGTCCAGCTGAGGTTATACGCCCCCTGATTGGCGGATGTCGACCGCAACACAAAGAATTATCTAAAAAGAAACCCTCGACTTTCTTTTTCTTACCAGCTTCCCTGGAGAATCTGTGCTCTTCTCGTCTATATACTCTTGGTATATTCCTCTGTACACCATTTATCAACACGACATTCCACACCCACTCCTCTATGTGCCAGCCTTCGCCCTCGTTCCCATCATCCGCTTTGCTGCTCTCCGTTGGCTGCCTGGCCAACTCCTCCCCTACCGCTATTCCCCAGGCCATTGACTCGGGTCTGAACGACCGGACCGCAGTGGTCTCCTCCCCGGACGCGTTCGCATTGACCGACACCCGGATTTCGTCGAACGGCGCCTGGCTGCGGGGATCGTCGGAGAACGACGACTCGGTTTGGCTAGGGGTCCTTGTAGGGGTCCTTGGTCCGTCCTGAATAAGGGCGGACGGTAAACTGCTTTATACAGGGTTTGGTGTATATCTGGTGCTCTCACGCGCCGCCCTATAAGGTCAGATCATTTACGAGATTGGATGTATGTTTCCGGTGCCTTGCCCTTGCATAAGCTCCAAGAAGCTAAATAGCTGACGATTTGATTATTAGAATAACTTGAGCCTGGATGTAGGCAGTTTTGGTTAACGATCCTGCTTAAATACCTCCGCGAGATTTTGACGTATTACGGACGTGATGCATTCCTCGTCGATCCCGGTTCATGACGATCTCTCCGTCGGCGATGTCTTTACTCCCCAGGTAGACAATCAGCCCGCCGTGAACGAGACCAGTTCGCAGAGCAAACCGACGAACAACAAAGAAACCAACGGCTGTCCATTTCCGATCCCCGCAATCAATGCGAACCCACTGGCTGGAAATGGAGGCGGCCGTAAGAAGAAGAAGAAGAAGGTGCCATGCGATGCTGTCCCTGCTGCGCTGTCGACGGTCCGTGGTTTTACACCTCTTGGTTCAGGCGATGAAATGTCAGATATCTCGGCTACCAGCTCCAGAGCTCCCAGTTTGCGATCACCTTCTGTTGCGCGAAACGGTGCGAGCCCTGTTTTGAAGCCAACGACAGGCTGCGGAGGTGTCAGCGCGTTGAAGTCGCAGCTTGATTCGCTGCATATCTCTGACAATCGTTCGTGCCTGAGCGCACCAAGTGTTTGCTCCGAGACCCCGAGCAATGCAAGTGTATGCTCGGACAGTGACCAGACGGAGGTCTTGACAAGCTATGAGGTGCCTCTGGAGCACGACTTTGTCAGCCCTGATGCTGAGACGGAGGAGAGCCAAGGAGACCCTGCGGCAAGCATGCGCAACCAGCTGTGCAGGAAGATGGCTTCAGACGACTTTGAGCCATTGCTCTGCCTTGGCAAAGGCTCCTTTGGAACGGTGTTGCTAGTGCGCCACAGACTGACAGGGAAGCTATATGCGCAGAAGCAATTCCGCAAAGCTTCAATCACCGTGCACAAGAAACTCGTGGAGCAAACCAAGACCGAGCGCACGATCCTGGAAAGCGTCAACCGCCACCCCTTCGTAGTCAAGCTATACTACGCCTTCCAAGACCACGAGATGCTCTACCTCATCCTCGAATACGCCCTAGGCGGCGAACTCTTCACCCACCTCGCCATGGAGCGCATGTTCGACGAAGACATGGCGGCCTTCTACATGGCCGAAATGGTCCTCGCCCTAGAACACCTGCACCAAAACGTCGGCGTCATCTACCGCGACCTCAAGCCCGAAAACTGCCTCCTAGATCGCGAAGGCCACCTCCTCCTCACAGACTTCGGGCTCAGCAAAATTGTCGCCGCCGACGAAGACGGCCGCTGCAACTCCTCCCTCGGCACCATCGAGTACATGGCTCCAGAAGTTATCCAGGGTAAATCCTACGGCAAGGCATGCGACTGGTGGTCGCTCGGCGCACTAGGCTACGACCTCCTCACCGGCTCCCCACCCTTCAAAGCAAACAACAACACCAAACTGCAGGAGAAAATCCTAAAACAAAAACTCTCTCTCCCCTACTTCCTCGGCCCAGACGCTAAGGACCTCCTCACCCGCCTCATGCGCAAAGAACCCTCCAAACGCCTGGGCTACCACATGCCCAAGGACCTCCAGACCATCAAGAAACACCGCTTCTTCCGCAAAATCGACTGGAGGGCCCTCGAGAGCCGCGAGGTACAGGCCCCTATTAGCCCCGTTGTCACGGACCCGGCGCTCGCGGAGAACTTTTCGGCGGATTTTACGGGTCTCCCACTCACTACTGGGAGCGGAATTGATGAGCGGGGAAGTGTGCCTACTGGTACTGGTGGCCGGGTGGAGGGGATGGAGAGTGATCCGTTTGGGGGGTTTAGTTTTGTGGCGTCGAGTAGTTTGTTGGATCATGGGTTGTATTGACTATCTGTATGTAGGTTGGGGGTTGTTGGGGTGTATTTACAGACAGTTTGCATCTGTGTCGCCGCTTGGGGATGTACAGTACAGTGGCGCGTGTATATTCTTAGATTGCTAGCTTGCTTCGTTGCGAATACATACGGGTACAATTGTCGACTTTTGATCTTAATCTCCGTACGTCATTTTTATCAACATACATACATAGATCTTATTCTTTCCCCCGTGCAACAATTCCAATCAAAAATGGCTGGTATGCTGGCCTAGTCTCAACAGACAGACATTCGATCAAATACAGCAAACAAAACAACCATCAACTTATCCACAGCAATCAGCACACAAAAGCCAACCTAATCCATCTTCCAGCCAGAAAAAAAAAAAACATACCTATGAATAAATCCTCTATTCCAACTAACCAAACAACGCTATCATCAGCACTACATATACATGTACTCCATCGATAGTAAAATACTTACCGCATCATCCGGACACTCAAGCCCAGAATCCGAATCCGGACAGATAATCGAGCACGGACGGCCTTCGGATACAGGCGGGATATCACCTGGAATAGGAGTTGGAGCTGGGACTGCGAGGACATTGCTGGCCAAGAAGTGCAATGTGGTTATGAGGATTGGGATGTGCATGGTGGCTGTAGTTTCGATTTTGTTTTGGAGGGCTGGGGTGTATGTAGGAAGAGTAAAAAGTAAGGGTTTGGATATGTAAATAAAGAGGAAGAGAAGAGACGAAGGTATTTATACTGATTTTAGAGATGAGTAACACAGTAACCGTCTCATTGCTTGGTACAGGTATAGAATTTGAAGTATTATTGTTTGCCTGTGTGGTTGTTGATTGCTAGGGTATATTTGTCAGTACTATGCATGGTGCAACCCCAGCTACAAGTACGTTGTTTACATCCCCATTCCTTGACTACAGCAAGCCAAGATGGTTAGTCTCAGCCAGTCACATACAATCGGAAGGAATGTACGGCCATATCCTCCTCGGGTAATGAGCTGAGTCCGTTATAAAGGCAACAAATTGATCCATTGAAATGTCGAAAATACTCCTCACATATCTGCAGCTGTCGAACCCAGGTAAATCCAGTTCCAAATCAGAGACCCATAAATCGTATCCACATAAGATCCCGTCTCTCCTGGTCATCGATATTGAGCAGTAATATCCAATCCAGAGTTGTGAATCATCCTTCGGTCCAGCCAACGGGAATAAACAAGAACAGTAACTAGCAAATCATACTCCGTAACATAGTGATGGGTATCCGCCATGCAATGCTTTTATCATCTTATCTTGTATCAATTGTAAGCGGGGTCTAGGTTAGACGGATTCACGTAGCAAAATAAATATATTTACCAGTAAGGACGGCGGTCATAAGGCGGCATATAACCACCCCTGGGCGGCGAGCGAGGACGTCCGAAAGGCCTAGGCGGCGCCATGTAAGGGTCATCAAAGCGTGGCGGGGGCGGCAACGGAGCGCGCGCATCATAGAGCTCATCATAGGGACGGCGCGGGGGAGGGAAGTCATCAATCCGGGGGCGGGGAGGGGTGCGACGGCCATATCCATCTCGGTCGTAGTATTCTCCGCGGAGGGGGATGGGGGAGCGCTCGCGGTAGTGGTCGCGCGGGCTGTAGCCTCGGGGTGCAGGGGGGAATCTCCGGTCGTAGTCATCAATGGGTGGGTAGCCTCTTCGGGGGGAACGGGCCCGGTAGGGTTCACGGTAGGGGTAGGGTTGGATCTGGGAGGGATGAGGATTTCCTTTCCTAGTTTCCGTGGTTCCTGGGGGTTCTTACATCCGCGACGCAGTTCACTCTGGCTCCTTTGAATTCGCGTCCGTCGAGCTTCTCCACGGCTGTCTTCAGATCACTGGCGGTTTCGAATTCGACAAACCTTGTCTGGTGTTAATTGGATCCTTTCCTTGGAGGCAATGTGTTGGAACCCACCCTCTTCCAAATTCACGTCCGGCTTCTGAGTAAACTACATCAAGGCCAGATTGACGGGCAAAGTCTTTGAGGTCCTAGAGAGAGAAAGGTGTGAGCCAGCTGGAAAATCCTGGTAAACGTGAATAAACAAAACAATAAAGCAAAAGGCATATCCAAAATGGTCCGATTCAGTGGCCACGGTATTCCAAGCATTTGAACTTTTGGATACGGATGGCTTTCCAAGAAAAATCCAGGGTGGTATATTTCCGAGGAGCATCCTGTGTTGAGCTCCAGAGATTCCAGGATTGTTAAATATGGCCATTCAAGTGCGAATTGGGAGGGGGGAGAGAAATCCAGACCAGGTTCCAGAAGCAGGGAAAAAAAAAAAAAAAAAAAAAAAAAGCTCGGGGAAAAGGTCCAGATCCAAGGAGACGTGGGCTGCTAACCTGCCAACTAGTTGTTTCCGGAAGGCCAGAAACCAGCATGCGATAAATGGTACGACGCGGACGAGGCATACCGGGGCGATCCATGGGGCCACCAGAGAAATTTTCCTTACGGCGAGGTCCACGCGCGAACTGCACGGTGAGTCGTTCACCTTTAAAGTCACTGCCATCTGAGGTTCGGTTAGGGGGAGTAAGATAGCGTGGCTGGCCTGAGTTGATACGTACGGAACGCTAAAGCTATCAGTTAGTTACTCACTGTAATCGAGCCAGACTGGTAAACAGACGAAGCACTTACCCGGAACAACATCTCTCGCATCCATCGCATCCTCATATTCAATAAAACCAAACCCCGACATGAGCTTAATCTCAGTAATCTTTCCCGAGCCATGGCTGCCAAAGTGCTCCTCAATATCCTGCTTGGTCACTGAAACAGCAACACCAATGGTTAGCTCGACGCGGTCCAAACAAGAATCCTGTCAAAAATTCATGCAAAAATGCTCAAAGGGATCCAGTTTTGACAGATGGGTAATCCTGAAAAAAGCCACTCAGTCACACACGCAGGTAGCCCCTCCTCCTCACATCAATCTGCACGTACGCGCGCGCGCGCAAACAGAGTGCAGATGTCCAAGTGGGATGAGGGATTTCCATGTATGTGAAGCGGATATCCTACTCCGGGCGCTAACTGGGGTTTCAAGGAAGGATTCCAGTCCGAACGGGATAGACCTCTGGCAGTGGAAGTGGTGGAAGCGCATACCATTGCGGGGAAGATTCCCGAGATAAAGTCGAGTATTGGAGACCTCAGTCATGGTGTCCAGTAGGTGACGAATATCTGATCCAGGGAATAAACAGTGGTGGCCAAAGAAGAATCCGCGAGAAACCTTGGGGAGTAAGAAGAAGAAGGCCTTAAATGGAGAAAATCGGTCCTAGTGAGAAAGTCCAGGAAAGCACACGCATGGAGGTGCAGAAGAGGAGAAGAGCCAGCAAAGAGGTGGAGTTACAAACAGCGCAAACAATCACAACAACAATAGAAAATAAGACAGTCCTTGTACAAGGACAGCAGTGTCTGAGTGTAAGTAAACAACTCAGAAGAGTCCAGAGTACAAGTAGAAGTTGAAGAGGATAACAGAAAGTTAAATCCAACGAGTCAGCTGACCGCCAGGCAAAATAACGCCTCGACCAGCGACTGGAGATGGTCTTTTCAGTTGTTTCGCCTCACTTTTGACTTAACGGCGATCGCATCGTTGTTACAGGTGTCTTATATACAGTACTCCATAACAATAAGATAAACGTCGCACTATTCAGTCCTTTCCACGGTTCGCTCCCCGCGGAACCAGACTAAGTTACTGCTTATGGTCACCACAACAAGTAAAATACATTTTCCCCAATAAATCCAGCCGGTTGAATGCAGACATATATATACACAGAATTTAATGTTGAATCTACACCATCTCACCAGGGTATCGAATAGCGCTATGTCAATGAGTATTTCGGTCCCTCGCCACCTTGGGGTGTCTGCCAGTTAATGTCTTGTGTGGGCACCTTGATGTCGCAAGTCTTGCAGTGGATGCAGCTGTAATACTTGTTAGCTTGATGATCGACAATCATATCGTAGAGGAAAAGAACTCACTTTTGCGCATTGATCTGGAACCGCACACCATGCTCTTTGCTCGGGTCCTCAACGTATTCATACACACCGGCAGGACAGAACCGGTTCTCGACACCCTTGTACTTGGGCCACGCGACATCCTTGTGCTTGTCCCAGTCCTCCACCTGCAGATGCACCGGCTGGTCTTCCTCGTGGTTGGTTCCGGTCCGGCTGACGCTGGTCATGATGTCGAAGCTGAGAACGCCGTCTGGCTTGGGGTAGTCGATCTTCTGGCACTGCGATGCCTCCTTGGTGGCGGCAGCGTCCGTGCTGTGGTGGCTGAGGGTCCAGGGTCCTTTACCGCGGAGAACGTAGGCTTCCAGACCGGAGTACATAATACCTCCGTAAAGACCGAGCGAGGTGTTGAACGATGGACGCATGTTACGTACTGCATGCAGCTCCTTCCAGATCCACGAGTTCCGAAGCGCAGATTCGTAGTCGAACAGGAACACGGTGCCAGGTGTCTCACCTTGCAGAGCCGAGTAGGTCGCTTCCGCCGCCAACATACCCGACTTCATGGACGTGTGAGTACCCTTGATCTTGGGAAGGTTCAAGAACCCAGCCGAGTCACCGATAAGAGCACCGCCGGGGAAAGCGCACTTGGGTATCGACTGGAAACCACCCTCGTTCAAGGCTCTGGCACCATACGAGATACACTTTCCGCCTTCCAGAGTTTCCTTGAAAAGCGGGTGGTGCTTGAGCTTCTGGAATTCACCGTAGGGCGACAAATACGGATTCGGGTAGTCGAGTCCAACAACCAACCCGATGCTGACCATGTTGTCACCGAAGTGGTACATCCACGATCCACCATATGTGTCCGAGGGAAGCGGGTATCCCATGGAATGCACGATCTCACCCGGTCGGAACTTCTCTGGCTGAACCTCCCAAACTTCCTTCACACCCAGACCATATGTCTGGGGCTGGCTGTCGCGCCGGAGATCGAACTTCTTGATGACCTGCTTCGTTAAGCTCCCGTGGCAACCCTCACCAAGTAGCGTAACACGCGCATGGAATTCCATGCCCCGCTCAAACGAGTCCTTGGCCTTTCCATCGCGACCCACACCGAGATCGTTCGTCGCGACACCCTTCACCGATCCGTCATGGTTGTAGACAACCTCGCTGGCAGCGAATCCAGGGTAAACCTCC